AGGGCAGTACTGCAGGCTACTTCTGCCGCTTGCTAGCTGCCTGCAATTTGGCAGTTTGAATCTCGCCAGAATGAAGGTCGATAGCCTTCCATTCTCCTGAGGTGGGTAAAATGAGGGCCCAGGTTGTCGGGGACAAAAGGCTGTTTCTGTAAACTGCTTAGAGAGGGCTGTAAAACACTGTAAAGCGGTATATAAGTCTAAATGCTAATGCTATCATCAGTGCTGGAAGGGAGCAGGGTTTGCAAAGTGGAGAGGAGAAGGACTGTGGGGGTCCTTAGTGCTCTCTGAGCTTGGTTATTTTCCTGAAGATGTTTCATTATACCAAACTAGGCGATACCATCAGTGCTAGAAGGGAGAGCAAATTCCACTCCCTCCTATCACTGATGAAGTTACCTAGTTTGGTAGTGAAATGTCTGGAAGAAAACAGCCAAGCTCAGAGAACACCAAGGACCTCATTCTCCTCTGAAGCTCTACTCCCTCCTAGCACTGATGAAGTTACCTAGTTTGGTAGTGAAATGTCTGGAAGAAAACAGCCAAGCTCAGAGAACACCAAGGACCTCATTCTCCTCTGAAGCTCTACTCCCTCCTAGCACTGATGAAGTTACCTAGTTTGGTAGTGAAATGTCTGGAAGAAAACAGCCAAGCTAAGTGTTGCATAGGGCCCTTGTGGTTTTTTCCTTGCCCCCAAAGCTGTCGTAAACCATGATTGCCGAACATTGCCTGTGAATTTAAGGTTTTTTTTCTCCTCTTCTCCGATTGCAGACCGAAACAGACCCGATCTCATCCCGGAAGATCAATTGAAAAAATATTTGCAGGACATCCAAGCTTTTCAAGAAGTGGAGATATCCCAGCAGCTGGAGGACTTCAGGTTTGCAACCGGCAATTCTCGAGGCTCGTGCCTTCCATCAATCAAAGCCACAAGCCAGAAATCACAAATACCGGCCCATGTGGCATTGTGCTTAATGCCCACATGGGATTCATTTAAGGACGGCATCCGGACGTGCCGGAACTGCTGTCACTAAGTGGCACATCTTAACGGCCGCATCGCTTAATAATGGACATTCCAGCCTCAATCACCGTTGTTACGCGAGGACTGCCTATAATTGGGGTCAAATGGTTTAAGAACCACCATTTGCAGAAGGATTATGGGAAATCTGATCCTGGCTTGTCAGGGAATTGCTCAACAGGTGTCCAAATGAAGTCAGAGGCGGTGATACAAATTTATAGTTATGTAAATAGTTACATATATATAGATATATAGATATATAGATATAGATAGATATATTTGTAACTATATACATACACTGTATCGCCATCTTCAGGCTGGTGGCTTCGGCTTCATGCTTGTGTGAGCAAAGAGTGATCGGAGCTGCCGTCTTTCTATAACTATGGGTGTGTGCGTGTGGAGTGCTGGCTTTGTTGCTATAAGCGGGTTATCGCAAAGGCTCAGCCAACCTCCCAGACTGTTGCAGCACAGGACCCAGTATATCACTATACTAGAGCTCAGGATGTCATCACACAGCCCATTACCCAGATCGTTACAACACAAAAGACTAATGGGCACACAGCCAGTACCTCAGCCACACAGGATGTTACGAAACAGCCGACTAATCTGCATACATCAACTCCATCAACTAATCAAGATGTTATAACACGGCCAATCAACCCACATACAGCAACAAAGCCAGCACTCCACACACACACACACCAATATTTATAGAAAGATGGAAGCTCTGATC